AGCGGGCCCCAACCCCCTTGTTGGAGAAACCAGTACCAAACATCCCATGTAGATAAGATAAGCAATGAGGCAGGGCTCAGTTAGGGCATATAGAATGTGAGGAATGCAAGATGTGAGATACGAGCAAGATGTGAGATACGAGCAAGATGTGAGATACGAGCAAGATGTGAGGTACGAGCAAGATGTGAAGTACGTGCAGGATGTGCTCTGCCTGCTTGTCTAATGTTGATAACAAAAATATGCACGCCACTGCAGTCTATATAAGATTTCCCCCTAAGAGGCTCAGGGTCTTGCTTTCCTAACCGGTCCTGCGTGTCCGTGTGGGAGCTCGACCCTGGCTAGCCAGTCCAATAAACTCTGCTTTGTTGATTGCATTCACGCCTGGCTCTCTGTCTCTCGGGGGAATAGGATTCCGGGTCCTAACACGCCTGTAATCCTAGCAACTCGGGAGGCAAGTGTCTGGAGGATCAAAATTCCAAGCCAGCCCCAACAAATACCAACATAAAACAGGACTGGTGGAATGGCTTAAGCATGAGCGCACTTGCCTAGCGAGCATGAACCACTTTCAAACTCCAATACAGCCCAAAAAATAATAAATAACTTGTGACATTAAAACTCACATCCAAGTTCTCTAAACAATCCATTTAACAAAACCAGTTTGAAATATTTTTTTAGAATTATTTTTTAAGACCCCTATTTTGGTACAACTTGTAATAGATGCCATTTCTTTGAAACAAATTTTCCATCTGCCCTCACCTGGTCTGGGAAGGGAGACCAATTAGCAAACATTTATACATAATTAAAATAATAGAAGGAAAGGGAGCAAGAGATAGAGACAGAACAAATTTGAACAAATCCAGAGTAGGATTTTAACTTTATCCTAAACTCTCTTATCACTCTTTGATACCAACTCCTCCATCCTTTGCAATGCTGGGGTAAATGCAGGGCTTTACACTGAACAACTGAGCAACACCCCCAGCACCTCATACCAGCTTTCTAGATCACAAATCTGACAGCTCTTGTTAAAAGCCCTAAATGTTGCATCTCCCTTAGCAATGAATTTTTCAGCTAAAAGACACTGACACCTGAAAGACATTGAGACAGAAGGAACTGCAAACCTCCATTATGATTCTTTTTTTTCTTTGTGGGTCTGGGGTTTGAACTGGGGGCTTCACGCATAAAGAAAAGGTGCTCTACAGCTTGAGCCACACCTCCAGTCCATTTTGCTGTGGTTATTTTGGAGATGGAGGTCTCATGAATTATTTGCCAGGGCTGGCTGTGAACCTCAATTCTCCAGATCTCAGCATCCTCCAATCTCAGCCTCCCAAGTAGCTAGGATTACAAGCATGGGCCACCATTGCCTGGTTTACTGCTTGCTTTTTCAGACCACAGATGTTATCTTTTCTTGCCATTAACATACACTTGGACGTTTAATTTTTACACTGCCATACTTACACCTTCTTTGGTTCTATAAAGATATTGAAGCAGATTAAAAGAACAAGTACTATAATTGACCCATTAACACAAAACACAAACTCATTAAGGGGATTCAAGCAAAAAAGCTAGTTCTGAGGTTTCTACCATCAAAACTAAGAGGAAAGCTTAATGAATTATGAAGGACACTTGATTCTACTCAGCTCAACACTGTTTTACCTATGCTATCCATTTGTTCCATATCTGCTGCAGTTTGGATCTCACATATCCCCCCATAGGGCTATGTTGTAAAGGTTTAGCCCCCAGCTTGAAACTATTGGGATGTTGTGGAAACTTTAGGAGGTGGGGCCTAATGGGAGCTCTTCCAGTCATTGGGGGACCATACCCCTTTGTCTTTCCCTCTTTTGAAATAAAACCAGAAGCTTAGCAGCTTTGCAATGCCACATGTTCTCACCATGATGCTCCCTCCTTCTGTTAGAGACTAAATGCAATGAGTCTATCAATTATGGACTGGCTGAAACTGTAAAACAAAATAAACCTTTTCCTTTCATAAGTTGATAATTTCAGGTTTTTATTACAGTGATGCAAATTTGAACACAGTATGTGATATATATGCTAAATATTTAACTTTTATATATTAACAGTTTAATCTTAGTTTTGTCCTATAATTGTGCTTGCTCAAATTTTAGATCCAAGATCAAAATGGCTAGGGATAATAACTTTGTGGAATAGTCAAACATTTATTTATTTTTTTTAGTATGGTAATAATGAAGATAGCAAACAGACATTAGTTGATACAAAGGGAAAATCCAAACTATTACAAATACCACTTGAGCCACTCCACAAGCCCTTTTTGTGTTGGTTATTTTTGAGAAAGGATTTTGCTTTATGCCAAGGCAGTGATTCTTCCAAAGAGCTAGGATTTCAGGCTTGAGTCACAGTGTCTGCCCTATCATCTTAATATTTTACTGATTTTTTTAAATAAAAAGCATGTATATTACTTATGTAATCCAAAAAAGTAAAGACTGCTAAAAAAGATGGAAGATGGCTCCAATTAAAGGTTTCAACATTAAGCTCTCCCTCAACACACACACCCAAAGTCAGAAGAGGAGCTGGCTGCCAGTGGTTCACACCTGTAATCATAACTACTCAGGAGGCAAAGATCAGGAGGATCCTGGTTTGAGGCCAACCCAGGGCAAATCGTTCCCAAGACCGTATCTCAAAAATACGCAACAGCAGAGTAATACAAGTGGTAGAGTATCTGCCTGGGAAAGTGTGAAGTCCTGAGTTCAAGCCACATTTCCACCAAAAAAAAAAAAAAAAGACAGAAGAAGCATGTTCCAACTGAGGTCAGTCTAGCTTGAGAAAATGAAAATGGAAAACAATTAGAATCTTAGTTTAGCAGAGAATTATTAGTATCTTTCATTGAGAATCAGATGAAGAAAAAAAACTAGGTGAAGGAAATCCTCACAAAAAACTCTAGGATGCTGTTACTTTTATATAATTTAATCACCTTTAAGTTTTGAGGTCACAGACTGTATCTTAAATCACCTAACATTCACAATCTAGAAGAGGGCATGTATCATAGAAAATAAAACACGTAGAGGATGAAAATTTATTGACTATATATAATCAATAAATGCTGTTAAAGGGAGAGATAGTAAAGTTTCACTGTGTGACAGAGGTACATGCATGTCTGAAAAAATTCTAGTGACTTGTCCTGACCATATGGAGCTAGACTGTGAAAGGTCTTAACTGAAGCTAAAGCAATTCTATACAACAGTCAAAAACAGTGAAGGTTTTTGAGCAGGAATGTAACACATCAGTGGTATATTAAAGAATATTAATCTGGAAGTGATAGTATGGTTAGAGGGATAAAGAAAGACCAATAGTAACAATAGCAAGCAAAAGATATAAACAGACATTTCTTCAAAAATTATATATGAATGGCCAACAAGTACATGAAAATATGCTCAACATCATTACCTATCAGGAAATGCAAGCCAAAACAACAGTAAGATACTACTTTGAGATTGGAGGAGTGTCTCTATGCCTGCTTTACAAGTACTACCTTCTCTTCAATCAATCAATGGATACTACTTCATATCCACTAGAAAGACTATGATCAAAAAGATACATAATAATAGGCATTGGCAAGGAGGCAAGGAAATTGGAATCCTCATATATTGCTTGTATAAATGCAAAATGGTATAGCTGTTTTGTAAAACAATTTGCAGTTCCTTAAAATGCTAAACATGAATACTACATGACCCAGCAATTCCACTCTGAGATATATACCCAAGAAAACTGAAAATACATGTCCTTGCAAAAACTTGTACACTGTTCACCCACGCCCAGACGGCTTAGGAAGACGCGGACAAGGTGAGCTTAGTGGTACCGTGGTACTCCCACAGACAACCCTGGGCCAGATCAGCATAGCTCCCTGGACAGACCGACCTCCACCCGGGGAAAAAAGAGAAACTGAGTAATAAGCAATAAGAACAATAAAGACACGTGGGAAAGAGGGTGGGGCGCACTGAGCGCCGAAGGTGGGGGGGAGGGAATCCTTCCCGGAACTGTAAATAAACTTGTACACTCTTCATAGCACTATTCATCATAGTATCCATAATAGAAAAAAGTTGAAACAACCTAAACATCCACCAAGTAGTGAATAAATAAAATGTGGTGTGTTTATATGGTAATATTTAGCAATAAAAAGGAATGAAGTATTGATATAAGCTACAACATGGATTGAAAACATGCTAAGTGAAAGATACAATAGGACACAAATTGTAGGATTCCATTTATATGAGAGATTCAGAATAGGCAAATCTATAAACAAAAGTAGGTAAGTTACTGCCAAGGGTTGTGGGTACCTGGGGAAATAGGGAGTGACTGCTAATGGATGCAGGATTTCTTTCTGGAGTGATAAACACGTTCTAAAATTGACTGTGCTAATGGTTGTGCAATTCTGTTTATGTACTAACAAACTGACTTTTAAATGGATAAACTATATGGGATATGAATTATCTCAATAAAGCTATTAATACCCAACAGCAATTGTGTAGGCCATGATATTTATTGAAAGAGAGGAAAAAAAGCTGGGCACCAGTGGATCACACCTATAATCCTAGCTACTCAGGAGGCAGGGATCAGGAGAATCACTTTTTGAAACCAGTCCTAGACAAATAGATCGGGAGATCAAAAAAAAATTCACAAAAAAGGGCTGGGAGTGGATCAAGGTGTAGGCCCTGACTTCAAACCCCAGTACTTTAAAAAAAAAAAAAAAAAAAAAGAGGCTGGAGGGAGGAAAGAAGGAAAGGGAAGGAGGGAGGGGGAGGGAGAGGAGGGGGAGAAAACCTTGCAAAATATCCAATACCCTAAATAAAAATTTAATTTTTATATACCAAACACTTTCTTTTTGGTGGTACTGAGGAATCAAATGCACACTTTGTTTATGTAGTCATTCAGCAAACATTAATTCAGCACTTGAGATATTAAATCACTGAAGATTTTGTTCTGATTACTTTTTAATCTTGGGGCGGGGGAAGAACAAAATATTGGATCTTTTTATGACTTACCAGTGATCTGAAGTTGTGATTTCATGGTCAGGCTACCCATTGAAACAAGTTGTGATCCACTGTCAGACATACCACCAATAGTACAGCAAACCTGAATATGGCAAATGAGACACTGTAAACAGCAACAATTTTCATTTAAAAAATATGAAAATACTTCTAACTTTGCCCTTTCTTACTGAGAGCCCCACAATAATCAATGTCCTTCACAATGCTTAACAATTTTTAATTCTAATACTCACATTACCTAAATTACTGTCAAAATTTAATAGTTGAGCATTCCCTCCACTATAGTTTACTTTCTTCCCTTTAGTTTCCAAGACACAATTCTCTAGGTTAATGTTTTGCAAGACTAATTGTTCCTTCTCAGTCTTTTTTTCCTTCTTTTGGTGGTACTGGGGTTTGAATTGAGGGCCTTGTGCATGCTAGACAGGTACTCTACCACTTGAGTCATACCCCTAGATCCCTTCTCAGTCTTTTATGAAGATTCCTTTTGTTCTCTTCACTCTTAATGTCTGCATACTCTAGGGTTCAGTTCTTGGTTTTTCTCTTTTTCTCTTATCTATACTCATTCCCCAAAGGACAAAATTGGATCTTATAGGGGTTCTTTATTAATGTTGTTTTTTGTTTTCTGGCGTTACTAGTGTTTGAACTCAGAGCTATGCACTTGCTCTGCAGGCACTACAGCACTTGAGCCATACCTCCAAGTCCAGGTCTTATGGTTTTTAATAGTATCTATATAACAACATGTCCCAACCAACTCTGTATCTCTAGCCCAAATTTCCCTTTAAACTTCATTCAGGTATCTGAAAGATACCCCATACTTAACATAGCCAAAACTGAACTGATCTTCCTTAAAAACTTCTACTTCGAATTCTCATCTAGCAGATGGAAACTCCTTCCTTCCAGAAGCTAAAAACTTTGGAGTCATCCTTGACTCCTTTCTTTGACATTTCCCTTCCAACTTGTCTGTAAATTCTAGTATCTGTATTTGTAAAAATACATTCAGAATCCAACTACTCTCTTACCATGTCATAACCAATCTGTTTATTACTATGTCAGCCATCTCTTTCTTAGATTACCTCTCCTACATTACTATAATGACAAGTCTTCCTGTTTCTAACCTTGTTTAGCTTCAGTATCTATTCTCAACATTGCCATGACTAATATTATAAAAGAAGATTCTTTTGCCAGGCTCCAGAGACTCATGCCTGCAATCCAAGTTACTCAGGAGGCAGAGATCAGAAGGACTGCAGTTCAGTCAGGATGGCCGAGCGGTCTAAGGCGCTGCGTTCAGAAGGATTGCAGTTCAAAGTCAGCTTGGGCAAATAGTTCGCGAGACAATGTCTCAAAGACTACACCAAAAAAGGGCTGGTGGAGTGGCTCAAGTGGTTGAGCACCTGCTTAGTAAGCATGAGGTCCTGAGTTCAAACACCACTGCTGGCGGGGACAGCACCCAATGGAATAGGGGGGCACACGTATCTGATACACAGTAAGTGTTTAAACATCAGTTTAATGAAAACAACAAAGAAATAGCTAGTGAATTATGCCACAAGAACTACTCTAAATAAATCTTTAGTTCTTAATCATAGAAGCATTAATCCCCACATGGAAACAGCATGATTTATGTAACAAGGATTTTCAACACAATGAGAACACTTGTGCCTTGGTCCTGCCTAAAATACTTACTATATGGTACTATTTGAGTTATTTAATTTATCCAGGTTCTAGTTTTATTGTCAGAAAAATAGGGACACTACAACCTCTATGTCATAGGGTTGCTGTGGATTGATGATCAACCCGAGAGGCAGAGACGGGAGGATTATGGTTCAAGGCCATCCCAGGCAAAAGTTAGCAAAATCCTATTTCAAAAAAATAAGCTGGGCATAGTGACAACACACATAGAATCATAGCCATTGTGGAGGTAGAGGTAGGACAATCATGGTTCAAGGCGGACCCTGGACAAAAACACAAGACCCTATGTGAAAAATAAGCTAAAGCAAAAGGGGCTTGAGAGGGTGACCCAAATGGTAGAGTGCTTGGCTAACAAGTGCAAAGTGCCGAGTTCAAACCCCAGTAGCGCACACATATACACACACACAAAAGGCTGAATGACTATATATGTGGAACTTGTCACTTACAGTATTTGAATTAAACTGAACACTTTCTTAAAATAAACACTCTCTTCTTAGGCTTTTAGGAATTGGGTGAAAATGAGAACTATTTCAGCAAGAAAACAAAGATTAAAGTCAAAATGAATTTACTTAGCACTTACTGTTTGCCAGGTACTATGTAAGACATATATAAATAAGGCAAACAAAGTTATCAGAAAACTGTGAACATTATCTTGATTCTTTATACAAATTATGCCTGTTTTAAAATTTTTTAAATATAAAATTATTCTGATGTCTTCTAAAGTCTGCCAGAATGAAATGGAACAATAATCCCTATTGAGATAAATTCTATAAAATCTAGCATTTTTTCATTCTTTGACTTACACACGAAAATGTTCAAAGCTAAAAGCTGGCCTCACTTACACTAACTCATTTTCTTACAGTATAGTATGTATACATTTTTTTCCTTCATTTGTTTATTTAGATTATACTACTTCAGATACTTTATAACCTACAATCTACTAAAAGAGCCCTTTTATTTTGAAAAACCAAAAGAAAAAGGTATATTCTGTAAAATCATTAGTAGTCACTTAGAATATAAGAAAAATGAGATCCTTTTCACACAAATTATTTGACTCACTTTGCTTACTATACAAAGGAACCTCAAAGACATTATTACCATTCTGTACATTTATTAACTCTTCCCCAATACCTAAAAGCCTGTATGCCACAAAACATCAACACAAAGTAAGAGGCAGTGAAAACAGTCAAAAATACTTGGGGGCTGATTTTCTACATGATGAAAGCACTATTTTTGTTTCTGAGCTATGTGTACAGTTTCTGTTATTCTGAATAGTGAAAAGCTTCAAAACAATAAATTTAAAGTTTCCACAGATTTCCCTGCCCCACCCCCAGCACTCGGGTTTGAAATCAGGGCCTCACATTTCCAAGGCCCTCTTACTACTTTAGCAACCCCACCAGCCCTTTTTTGTGATTTTTTTTTTGAGATAGGGTCTCAGGAACTATTTGCCTAAGACTGGCTTCAAACCAAGATCCTCCTGATCTCTGCCTCCTGAGTAGCTAGAGATACAAGCGTGAACTACCAATGCCTGGCTAGAAGTAAAATATTTAAAAAGTCAAATTAACTACATGCAGAAAAGACATGTAAAAATATAGACGGCAAGCATTTTTAGGAAAAGGAATTTTTTTGGTGGTACTGGGGTATAAACTCAGTACCTCAAGACTTGCTAGGCAGGTGCTCAGCTACTTAAGCCACTCCGCCAGTCCTGTTTTGTGATGGGTTTTTTCAAGATAGGGTCTCTCGAACTATTTGTCCATGCTGGCTTGAACAACAGATCTTCCTGATCTCTGTCTCCTGCAGAAAAAGAAATTCTTTCCAGATAATTACAGAGAACCACCGTGTTATATTGTGAGGTGCTCTGCCAAAAACATGCTGGCAATTTCAGTAATTTACGCATTTATACATAATTATTTTAAAGTCTTAAAATGAATAAAAATAATCATTTGTATGAGGGCAGGAGCAGGAAAGAGACAAAGATAAACTGCAACTGGCAACAAGTTTAAGAAATCACATATTCATAACAAAGAACAAACTACAATACAGTCTCTAACCTAATTACTAATTAGTGAAATGGACAGATATCAACTTTTTTTAAGATACAGAACACACACACACAAAAAAGATACAGAACACATAGTATGATTTATTTTTGCAAACAAACCACTTATTCTTATAGGTATATATACATATATTTATAAATAAATGCAGAGAAAGTATCCATTCCAAACTGGTAACAATAGTTTCCTTGGTAGAAGAGGGAAATGATAAAGAGGAGACTTAGTTTTCTATGCATCTTTTGAAGTTTTTTAAATAAATCATGTAGACTGGTTGTGTGGACCAAGTGGCAGAATATCTGCATAAATAAATCATGTATCACTCACAACTTGCAAAATTTAAAAAATAGGCAAAAGATAGCATCAAAATTATAGAGAATCTACACTTCAACTCCATTCCTCCTCCCTGAACTCTAGACTCAGGGAACTCAGCTTTGTGTGTAACTGTGTACATGGTTAACATAATCACATAAAAAATTTCCAGGGCTGGGGATGGAGCTCAGTGGTAAAGTGCTTGCCTAGCATACGCAAGGCCCTAGGTTCAGTCCTCACACACACACACACACACACATACATACATACATACATACACACACACACATACACATATACATATCCTGGGCATACCCACTCTAACCTCCAACCTTACCAGAGCCACTATCCATTCAATTGCTCAACTCAACAATACAGGTACTTTCACTTTCTTTCACCAAGTAATGATTTTACTTGTAAAATATGCCCTACTATATGCCCTAAAACATATACCTATTTTTCTCATCTCTTTTTAAGCATCTAGTCCACACTACAAACATTCCTTCACTGCCAATTACTTAAATTGGTCTCTCTTCCTCTGGAATTCCTCCTTCTCCCTCTCAACTTTTTCTCCCCACAAATAATCTTTTTAAATGTTTTTAAGAATAAGTTAAATCATGTTCTACTCTGCTTAAAACACCCATTAACTTTCTATTTCATTTCAAATATAATCCAAACTCCTTACTTCCAGCTTATATATGTTCCATTCTACTCTGTCTGTGACTGGTGCTTTGATCCTACTTCATATTATTCTCCCATTCATCCACTACACCTCTTGTTTTACCAGATACACTAAGGTCACTCCAGCCTTAGGGACTTTGTACTAACTGTTCCCTCTGCTAGAATACTTTGCCGCTGTCTTAAATGGGGTTAATACCTTGTCTCTCTTTTTTTTTGGCAGTAATGGCATATGAATTCAGGGCCTCATGCTTGCCAGGCAGGCACTCTATCATTTGAGGAATTCTGCCAGCTCAATACCTTCATAATTTACATATCTCTGCAGAGTGATCTGCCTTGACTACTCAATCTAAAG